GGGCAAAACTAAAACTATTAAAAATGGTTATTGTTAATTGAAATAAAGCTAAAATAAAATAAATTCTAAATATTAGATTTAAATATATATATTTATATATATATATTAAAAACAGAAATGACAAAAGTTGCCTTGGCAATTAACTGTAATAACGTAAGTTTAAGTTGAAGTAAACCTAAAATAAATTTATTTCGAATACATTTTTATTATTGTATTGAAGTATAAAAAAAATGAATAAAAATGACAAAAGCGCATAAAAAAATACTAAAACAAACTAAAATGAAAACAAATTATAAAAATATAAAGCTAATTCAAAAGCCTATAATAGCATAGGAATAATACTGAATTGTAAGTATGATCAATGTATTAGCACAGTCTCCTCAATAAGCTGCATGATGTGATTATTCTTAATCATATTCATAAGCGTAAGTATGAGCACTTGAAGTAAAGATGCTTGTTTGTTTTTTGAATGTTTGTCCTGTTGCAGAGCAAGAAGCAGTACTATGACGGTGAGCTTGAGAGACTTGAGAAACAGTACCAGCAACAAAGCAGCCAGATGGAGGCTGAGCACACATCCCGGCTCAGGGAGGACGCACGCAGACTCAAGGCCCAGCAGGAGAAAGAGCTGAGCCGCAAGAGCAGCGCACTGAAAGCGGACCCTAAAGAGGTACGGACTGCTGCATTTACCCACACTTATACAGCATTAGGCTCAAACACATGAAGACAGTCACTCATGTGTGTCTATTTCTGCTTTAGGAGCAGCGGTTCCTGCAGAAGCAGCAGCAGGAACTGAATGAAGCTCTGCAGAAGGGCGTTCAGGAACATAAGAGGAAGGTGGCTTCCATGGAGTGGGAGATTACTGTCAAATCTCAGCAGCTCAAGCGAGGTAAATATGCCACTGCTAATACACTTATTTATTATGTAATTTGTACAAAAATCACGGTTTATGGCATGTAGTTTATCAATCTTTAAAACACACTCTTAAAAATTAAGGTTCCAGAAGCTGGGTTTTCACAATAATGCCAAACAAGAACAATTTTGGGTTCCACAAAGAACCTCTTCATGAAGAGTTCTTAAAAAGAACAATTTTTTTCTTAGTGCAAAGAACATTTTAATAATCTGAACCAAGAGTCCCACATAAAATAAAATAAATGATCAGTGAATTAAATTAGAAATAAAAATGTAAATAAATAGCTTCTCAAACTTACAAATAAATGTTCTTAGATGTATGACAAATCCATGTCTAAAAATATAGTTAAATGTAACACTAAATAATAAATTGATAGATATTTTAAATTGCATTAATTTGTCCGTCTGAAAAGTAAATACAATGAAGGAATCAGTAATCAAAAATGTAACAACAAATAACAAATTGATAAATCCTTTTTAAATGCAATTTTTAAAATGCACTGATTTGTCAAATTAAAAAGTGATGTATTTATTATTTTGATGTTACATTTAATGTCATTTCAAACATTAATTAAATAAAATGTTTTTGGGAAATTATTTATTGAGAATTAAATAGTTGGTATCTTTTACCAATAAAAAATAATTAAAATATTTATCTATTTTTTTCTAGTTATTTTTTTCAGTTTGAGAAATTATTTGAATGATAACATTTTTAATTAATAAATTCATAATTGATTCATTATTTTATTTTTAATGTGGTAAAATTATTATAATTATATTATTTAATATAAATCAATTAATTAATTATTATGTAATTTTGTCAGCATAACACAAGTGGAAAAATTTACTGTGCACTGTAATAGTAAATAAATAGTGTGCATTGTACACATACTGTATACAGAAGAAGGTTATTAGTAGTATGTGATTCTAAACATACTGTTTCCTTCCTTCTCAAGCGCGTGAGGCAGTGATTTGGGAGTTAGAACAGCGCCATCTACAGGAGAAGTACCATCTATTCAAACAGCAGGTGAAGGAGCAGTACTCCCTACAAAGACAGCAGCTGACCAAGAGACACAACAAGGTTAATTATGCAGCAACCCCCAAAAGCATTATCTTTATTTTTCTGTACCTTACCCTGTCTTCTGTGGTTCTGTTCTCTCGTATGGTAGGATAAGGAGAGAGCGTCTCGGTTCCAGCAAGCTCTACTGGAGGAGCAGAAGTCATTGCAGGCCCAGGAGAGAGTATCCTTCCAGAAGGCCCAAAAAGCTGAAGCAAAGTCCTGTTGGAATCAGTTCAAGATGGAGCTCAAAAAGCAAGGTCTGAGTGGTCCAGAGCAGCGACAACGTCTCACACAGGTTTGGATTCAGAAGAAACAAAACATGTAGTCAATTAAACCTATACTTAATAAAACTGGTTTGCCCTCTCAGTTTTTGTCAGAGGAGGAGGCAAGACAGAAGCAAGAGAGACAGAGTCTTCAAGAGAGTCATGAGAACCAATTGAAAGTGGTGCAGGAACAATGTGATGCCAGTGCAGCTGAACTACAGCAGCTTCAGGTACATCCGCGTCAACTTGGGAACAGCCTTGCAGCGTTTTCATGTTGAGGGAATGTGGTTCTCAGTGTCTGTGTGTTTGGATTTTAGAATGAGAAGCTCCAAATTCTTGTGGACATGGAGAAGAAAAAGATCAAAGCTCTGGAGGATGAACACACTCTGGAGCTCAACGAATGGAGAGATAAGCTTGCGTGTAGAAAAGAGGTATTGGAGGGAATAGTAAAAATTAGAGGTTTAAAGCTTTTTAATCGGGAAAAAACATGACGACTGTTGTATGTTTATGTTCAGGTGTTAGAGGAAGACCTCGCTCGTAGACGTAGAGAAAAAGAAGGAAACAGGAGACGAAGCAGTGAGCCGGAAAACCGGCATGCAGCTCGCCGTTCAAAGTTCTTCCATAATCTAAGCTTTTCCTGACAAAGTTAAGAAATACTCTAAACCCCAATGTCTTTATAAACCGTATATGTACCTGATCAAAAGTGACAGTAAAGGCATAAAATATTCATAAAATCAAAATCAGTTGTAATATTTCACACTATTACATTTTTTACTGTATTTTTTAATGAAATAAACGTTGGTAAGATACTACTTTTAAAAACATTATTACCGACCCAAACTTTTGAACAGTAGTGTATGTATGTGTGTGTGTGTTTGTATGGGGCTAGTTGTCACATGGGTAAGTTATAATTATTTTATTAATTATTTTAGATTATTTTAGTTTTCAAATACAGTTATATTGTGAAAGTGGGCTTTTTTTCCCCCCCAAAATGGTCCCATCATGACAAGTTATTCCATTTAATGTGACAACATTAACAAAGTTTGTTCAATTAATTGTATTGTTGTTTCATAGAAAATAGTAGCAAAGATAGTGTTTTGGTAGTTTTTAAAATTAATTCACACACACATATATATATATATATATATATATATATATACATACACACACACACACACACACACACACATTATATGTACAGAATATATGGACATTTGGGTTAAGTTGCAGAATATATTTTGTCTGGAGTTTATGTATTTTTGTGAATATGTTTAAAATCTGCTTAGTCATAATTCCTCTGTAAGTGTATCTTGTAGCCTGAAGATGAAAGTTCATGTGTAAATAAACATTTTGAAACAATTTTAGACAAATAGATTATTCAGATTATATTTCTTGTGGATGTGTGAGAAGTTTTTGAACAGTCATGGTCATGCACACAAAAACAGCATACCAGCATGGGCTGGCAGCAGAGAAAATGATTACATAAAGCCACACCCCAGACCAATATCTGTCTCTTGACTGGAGTCAACATGATTTCTATTGAGCTGCTGAAGAGACGTGTTCTTCTATAGCAACCTCTTTATGGTAAGGTAAATGCTTTCATATTACTAAACATCTGGACGTATGAAAACTTGTAATGTGACATTTCAATTGAATACAACAAACGGGAACATATACTATTAAAGGTAATTTAATACTGAAAATACTTATTTGATTTAATGCATTAAAATGGTATTCTGGTAAACCCTGATTTATATGTACATATGACCTATTACCCAATCTAAATACTAACCTTCAAAAAGGACATAAAAACAACTGAACAATAAAATAGTTTGTTAAAAATTTTAGTAATTTGTCATGTAACTTGAAGCTCATATAATTATGAATACTGATTTATTGCCTCTTTTAAAATCAGACCCTACTTGAAATATAGACAAAAATGGTCATACTGCAGGACCTTTCATTTGATTAAAAATGACAAATTCACGTAAATATTAACCTTATGTCTTAATGTTAACATGATATATACGTTTTTCTATCCGCTCAAAGAAAAAATGCTTAAGATGTATGTTAATAAAAGGTCTAACCTTCAAACCTCCAAACATGAAATTGCTGATATTACATGCAACATTGATATAACATATTTAAAGGTTGCAAACATGTAATAGCAGCAATGATTATTCGTTCAAGATGTTTTATGTACAGTAACTCTTGTTGATTTTGTTCTCAGCGTTTATGTTTGAAGCAGTACAACATTATGGATAATATAATGAGTATACTTACTTTAGGCTTTTACAGTATCTTTCATTTCAAGATCATTTTGGGGGGGTTACAATCTCCTAAAGTGTGTTATGGACACCAAATGGATAAGTTGAAAGTGCTGAAGGGCCATATTACTTGACAGGAATGCTTTCCTGTCCATTACTCTCTTGTGTTTCATCTCTTTGAAATTCCCGAATACTAAAGGGTCCTCCATTAGTGCTGTGGAAAACACCTACTCAATTTTAATGACTTTATTTTCCAAACAATATGATGGATCTTTTAGATCTCTAATAAATGCAACTAAATGCCTAAGTGCATCTGTTTTCCAGCAATCACTTCCACAAGTATTTATAATGTTCACTCTTTCTCTCTTGTATACAGTGTCCATTAGGCTCTTGTCTTGTAATATGTAAAATTGCCTTTGCATTTCAGTAAGCTTATTTCTCTGAATTGTGTGCATATCAAGTTTAAACTAACTCAGTATGTCTCAATTTGTTAGGACCAAAATGGGGCAGTTAGGCAAACTTGCACTGTTTGTTTTGGTTCTGATGGCAGTGCTACACAATTCATCAGGAGGAAAGACAGGGGGTAAGAGCACCCCTTCCAAGAAGCCATCCAATAAGCCATCACAGGGGACCAAGACTCAATCTAACTATCCCAGGCAACCCTCCAATCCTGGTGCAGGAAGTAACCCAGGCTACCCCAACCAGCAGCATCCTGGTAGAGACACTAGTGGCAGCTATTCCTCAGCTGGTGGCAACACCAATTGGTATCCAGGAAGAGGGGGATCCAGCCCAGGAGGATATCCTAATCAAAATCCTGGAGCAGGTAGCTATCCCGCTGGTGGTAGCTATCCTTTGGCTGGTGGAAACCCCAATCCAGGAAGAGGCGGAGTTAACCCAGGAGGATATCCCAACCAGAATCCTGCAGGAGGGGGTTACTCTAACCAATATCCAGGTAGAAGTGGGTACAGCCCTGGTGGGTATCCAGCAGGTGGATCTTACCCAGTAAGAACTGCAGGACAGCCGGGAGGATACCCAGGAGGACACCCTTCCATTGGAGGGGGATATCCCAACTGGAACCCCGAAAATAAGATCCTCAGTCCACGCTATGGAGGCTCCTTTGGAGGTGGCAGGTTTGGAACGGGTGGCTCCCCTTTCTCCAATACAGTGAAAAGTATGGGCTATGGTCCCTCTGCTAAATCCAAAGGCTTCGCAAAAAAGGCAATGCTAGCAGCAGGCATTGGAGCAGTGGCAGGAATGGCTGTAGGCTATGGAATCGGAAACTTTCCACGCCCCAACTTCCAATTCAGGAGCCCTCAGGAGGAACGTCAATACAACCACTATATGTATGCACGTCAAGGCACTCATTCTAAAGACAGAAATAACAAAGGAAGACCCAACTACACATCAAAGCAACCATCCCAGGCTCAGTCATATGAGCAATACATGAGCACATGCATGAAGCGAAAAGATCTTCTAAAAGAGCAGGACACGACAGATTCTGCAGATCGCAAGAACATTCAAAGAGATGAACCACTGACTGACATTGCAGCTGTGAACGACACCACATCCCCTATAACTGTCAATGATTATCCAAAGGCTGCTGCAATTCGTGAGGATGATGATGATACAGTGAGTATCATGCAGATTGGTTATCCAGCTCTCATTGAGCAGATGAAATCTCGGAAGTGTGTTGAGCTGTATTTGGTTTACTCTGAGAGCTTCACGGAGAAGCAGAAAGAAGATAACAAGGACAAAAAGGGAAGAAAAAATTTCAGACCTTCCAATAACCACAATGGACACCGTGCCTCTGGAGTGCTTCTGTTGCTCACTACTTTCTTTATGCTTCTTAGTGGCACTTAGTAGTGCTGTCAACATATAATATTATATATAACACACATATACATAAAGGAATGCATTTGATCCTTCACAATGACCCACCCCTCTTCATTACTGTAGCTATGTCCAACAAGCCATGGCACTCTCACACCAAACGTCATGTTCTCACGCAATGAAAAATACATGGCAGAGCAATGAGAAAACTGACAAGTGCTGACAGACAAGACACAGAAGGTTACTTTTGGTATGAAACAAAGTTTCAGCTTTCAAATTTTGTCATTTAAAAAAAAAATTCAAACAATAAATACCATTTTGTGGCTCTTTAATGTGTCGTGACAGATCGCTGTAGCGCCTCAGTTCAAGCAGCAGGTGAAGCGATAATCTCTTACACTATACTAGTTATGGCATGAAATAAACATGAATGAACATCAGAAGATATCTTGTTTCAACCACGTAAAGACATCAATATGCACGATTTTTCAAGTTCTAGTCCACCAACGTTAATCTACTCTCCTGTCTAGTTTGTTTGTCAGACAAAAATGGCAGATTCAGTGTTATGATTGGCCAAATTGCCTGTCAGTCAAACTCCCTGCTATGGGTCAATTGCCCTTTCCACTCTCTCAGTCTAGGAATCTAAAGGTGAAGTTACATTTTAAAATTTGAGTATATTATCAATCTTGACTGAAAGTTTAGCTTATCTGCTCAAAATGTAACAAGTCTTTTTTCTCACTGGCTGTTTAAACGTACAGTACAAGGCAAATACAATGTATACTGGACATTTACATGTAATGAATGTATTTTGTTATAAATAATTTAATAAAATACAAAACTCATTATTATTAATATTGTTATTATTATTATTAATATTATTATTGTTATTATTTGTAGTAGTAATAGTAATATTTCTGGGAAATAAAAACTAAATTATTCAAATAAAATGTTCACTGATTAATTTATAGAAATGTAATATTATGGATATATTTAATTATATAGTAACCATTTATATTATTTAAAAAACATCAAAACAACAACAACAATAATGCATTTTAAATTTTTATTAGCTGCTAAATGAATTTATATTGATTATTTATTTAGTATTATTTATTCATATCTTCATATATTTCAGTAGTTTTCTCTAAATGTTCTTTCCCTTGTGAATGTGTGGTGTACATTGAATTCTACAGTAGGAAAACAATATATGTTTTCAATATTTTATAGATCAAACAATTGCTGGTCTGTTTAAAAGCTAGCAAAATGAAGACCATTGCTAACATCACAGAGAACACTGAGACCTTCACATAATACATGCAGCACGTTGCTACGAGACCAGGCCATTCAGAAAAAGAACTTCATGATCAGGAGGAAGCAATTGGAGGTTCAGCAAACAAAGTAAGTAAGTAAGTACATTTTATTTATATCGCACATTTCAACATAGCAAAGCTATCCAAAGTGCTTAACAATGTAAAATAAAATTAAAAGAGAAAAGGAAACACAGAAAAGAAGCAAACAAGACAGACAATAACACAACAATGAAGTGAAATTAAAATGCTAAGGAGAAAAGATACGTTTTCAACCTCGATTTAAAAATGGTAATGGAAGGTGCAAGGCGGCAGTCTAAAGGCAATTGGTTCCACAGACGGGGGGCAGTGACTGAAAAGGCTCTGTCACCCTTAGTTTTCAAACGGGAACGAGGGACAGATAAAAGAGCCCTGTCAGTGGATCTTAAAAGTCTGGTAGATGACAAAGGGATAATAAGATCTTTAAGATAAGATGGAGCTTGATTGTTTAGAGCTTTAAAAACAAACAACAGAATCTTAAACTGAACTCTAAAATGGACCGGAAGCCAGTGAAGCGAAGCTAAAATTGGAGTGACATGGTCATATTTCTTTGCCCCAGTCAGCAGCCTTGCAGCTGCATTTTGTACCAACTGGAGGCGTGAAAGCGATGACTGAGGAAGACCTGAGTACAGTGAATTACAATAATCTAAACGTGAGGTAATAAAAGCATGAATAACCTTCTCCAAATCTTGAAAAGACAAAAACGATTTAAGTTTGGAGATGACCCGTAATTGAAAAAAACTGTTCCTAAGGACAGAATTGATTTTTTTGGACAAACATAATTCTGAGTCTATGATAACGCCCAGGTTTCTAACCTGTGAGGAAATGGAGGGGTAATGATTGCCCAGTTCCTCAATAATATCCATTCTCATTTTTGGGTTACCAAAAAAAAAAAAATTCTGTTTTGTTCTCATTGAGTTGGAGAAAGTTATTTGATAACCATTTTTGAATATCTGAGATACATTCCAGCAATGGTTGAATGGAATCACCAGCTTTTAGTGGGAGGTACAACTGCGTATCATCAGCATATAAATGAAACGAAACATTGTGCTTCCTGATAATATCCCCCAGAGGGAACATATATAAGTTAAAAAGAAGCGGTCCCAAAATAGAGCCCTGGGGTACTCCACTAATAATTGGGGCAAATGATGAGGAAAACATGCCTAGCTCTACAGAAAGTAGTGGATAGGAATAAGTCAATGATTTATTCATTTACACTCTGAAAACAGTACAAGGAGCAAACAGTGACAGGTTTTAAAATGCCTGCCAAATTACACATCAAACCCTGAAACCAACAGAAGAGTATTAAATGACATCACCGGAATGAAAGAAACAGCAAAAGCACGTCTGTTATTTTTCATTTTGTCCATCCCACGACATTTCAGCTAAAAGAGTTTGCATCAAATAATTGTAGGTGTATGAGAGAATGCAAATATTAGCCCTTAAATGAAAGCTGTTTCAGTTGTATTGAATGACATTTGACTAAAATAAATAAAATAAAATCCCAAATTAAAATCCACAGTGACATATAATTGCAGAACTGTCTGCCATTAGCAACACAGCATGAATTAAATATAATTTAACATTCATCACATTTGGCTAAAACATTTGAATATATGTTAAATAGTAAAATTGATATTTAAATCAATCTGAAGGTAAGGTAAAATCTACCAATTTACCTTACCTTCAACCAGGTATAATATATAGGTCAATTGCAAAAATTACATACATCATTAGTCCCTTTCACACAGTAAGACCAGTGAATTGCGTTAAAAAATGGAACGACTTTACCGTAAATAGCTACAAAAATGGGCTATTCACACAAGCAACGACGTTCCATCTTTTTAAAGCAACATTCACACATCTGTTTCAAAATACCGGTAAATTCTGTGAGATCAGTAACCAGAAATGACTTCTAAACAGCTGCCCCTACCGGTGTTGTGTTTGTAAACATGGAAGGGTAAACGTGGTCAGTGTTTTTGTTGATATTTTCATTTTTTCTGTCAAATGTTCACATTCATGCAGCGCTTTTGGCCCAGAGACGTCGCATTCGAATTTAAACCGAACTACGGTTGTGGCTATAAGGGATAAAGCTCAGACCGGAAACTAACAATGAAATTTAATTTTCTACCTATCAGATTGTTTTATTAACGTCTACACCTACCCCGACCCTAAAGCTACCCCTTACAATAATGTAAAAATAGTAATTATTGTTGTACAGTGGGACAAAAAATACGCTATATTGATGTGGCATGCCCAGTAGCCACAGCTGTCTCCCTTCTAGCCTTAACCCCGAACTACACAGCGTGGAGTAAATGCATCAGAATGTTGATTGGCCCAGAGCCGTTGAATTTTGAATTTCAATGGCTCTGGATTGGCCCAGAGTAGACATCTTACGCCAGCGTGTTCTGAACTTGCAGCATCATTCCGGTAATTTACTAGTAATGTTATACTACTTACCCTTACTAGTAAATTGCCAGAACAAATTTACCGGTATTTTTGAAAAGGTCCTGTTCACACATGATCTCTTAATGGTAATTTACCATTAAAGCAAAGGGGCAATTATTATAATAATTAATAATGAATGTAATTATTTAATTTAATTATATATATATATATATATATATACATTACTTTTTAAATTTACTTTTAACTTTTGAACTTTAGTGTCTGTATGTGTGGTCTAATGTCATAACTTTCTCAAATTTCATATTTCTCCAAGCATATTGCTGGTGTACGTTAGTTTCCTCTTCATCAAACACTCTATCAATGAAAATGATTGCATCCAAAACAAACCCTTTCTGCATCTTGTCTCTCTGTGACAAGAATTGTAACTCCTGTAACAAACCCTGTAACTCATCCCCACATAAAGATGTGTGTGACTGTTCCGAGTATTATGAGGATGCTGGTCACATGTTCTGAGCTGCCTGTGTTCCTGTTATACCGCCAGTCCGAGCGATTGTAGTATCCCGGTCCATCAGGGTAATAGCGCCTGTCCTCCTCTGAGGAGCCATCGTAGCCGTAGCCATACCTCGGTCTGCCCAGAGAGCCCAGCCCATAGCCGATGGCCGCTCCACCGAGAGCCCCCGCGGCTGCAGCACCTGCCAGCTTCAGGCCCTGCCTGCCTTTGCTCTGGAAGCATATTGCTGGTGTAAGTTAGTTTCCTCTTTATCAAACACTCTATCAATGAAAATGATTGCATCCTCTGTTTAAAATGAACCCTTTCTGCATCTTGTCTCTCTGTGACAAGAAATGCCTCAAACCCTGTAACTCATCCCCACATAAAGATGTGTGCGACTGTTCCGAGTATTATGAGGACGTTGGTCACGTGCTCTGTGCTGCCTGCGTTCCTGTAATACCGCCAGTCCGAGCGGTTGTAGTATCCTGGTCCATCCGGGTAATAGCGCCTGTCCGCCTCTGAGGAGCCATCGTAGCCATATCTCGGCCTGCCCAGAGACCCCAGCCCATAGCCGATGGCCGCTCCACCGAGAGCCCCCGCGGCTGCAGCACCTGCCAGCTTCAGGCCCTGCCTGCCTTTGCTCTGGGAAGGAGGCGCTCTGGCTGGCAGACCTACTCCCTTACCCCTGCCACCAAAACCTCCTCCACGCTTGCAGTGGCCCCAAGGATACAACGACGCCAACAGCAACATCCACACCCAAATGATCAGGACCTTCTGATTACCCATCATGACTGGGGGTCCCTTCTAAAAACAAACAAAATTGGCGTAGAAAGGATTTTCGGTCAGAAATTTCTAGTAGATTTTACAACTAATTAGAAAAAAAAAAAACACAGCAAGCAACACATTGAATTAAATGTGAAATTTGGAAGTAGAAAGATTGAAACTTGTAAAACTTTTCTTAAAAAACTCTAATAATATTTATTTACAACATAGAAAACATTGTTTTTTACAGTGTAGAAAATTAAAGAAATTGAACAAAAATGGTCTTGTTGCAATTTTTAAAGTTTCCTATAATAATATTACATCAATATATAAGTTAGAGTACTTATTTGTATAACTAATTCAGTGTCATATAATGAATCTTTCAACAATTAAATTATTATACCTGTTATTCTATTTATTTCAGTAATTCTTTAATACATTTTTTAAAATTATTATTATATAAATGGCAAAATGTCTGTGCACAGACACTTGTAAAATACTTTACAAATGAAAGATACTAAATATTTTATTACCAATAAACATTATTACAATTAATCTGAAATAAAATATGGCACATTAGATTTACAAATTATTTCTCTTTATTTCATAGTCTACTTATTCACACAATTTGGGTTTTACATTCAGCCAGTGTATGATCCTCCTTTTCAAATAATAAATATCTCTCTTACTCAGAATTAATCTAAAAATATAAAAAAAATTTATTGATCTATTTTTATTAATCTATCTTTATCTGTTTTATTATCATGTAATATTTATTTAAAGTTTTATGTTTTTTATATATATTAAATATTCTACCTTTTTTCCCCAGCTTTTTATCATCAAAGTAAAATGTTTGTTTCAGCTCATTTATTATTATTATTTTCTTCAACATAATTATTCAAACAATTACAGTACAGCAAGCGGCACAAGTCATCTGAATCTAATTATACGCTCCATTGCACATCAAAAGAGGAGTGCTGACCACTGACAACAAGCAAACGTTCTGAATGATGTATCAACTGTCAGACTCACCTAGAATGCGATAGTGCTGCGATCTGCATTTGCTGATACAATGACCCACTTGTTGTGCCATACGTGTATATTATATTCATTATCACAAATGTATTGAATTACACAGACATTTATGTTGATACCATAATGTTTATTTCAAACATACAAAAATAATAAAATGAATTAAACCAATGAAAATCTTTAGGACATCTCAAAATGCACCATTATATATTACATTAGATATATTAAATGCTTCATCTCAGTTTTTAGTTCTAAAGCATTTATTCTCTTCCATATTTTGCAAATCTCATCAAAGCCCCATCTGTTGCTACAAACAGAAGCATCTTACCTTGTGATAGTGTTGATCACTGGCTTCTATTCACCGCTTGAACTGCTCAACCTTACTGTGACAAGCTGCTCTATGTTGTAAACAACCACCTTATGGAACTGTCACTCACTCGACAGCAGCGAATGACCAATCAGGGATGCTGAACAGCCCCGCCCACTCAAGAACAAAGGCACAGCAAAGAATGAATTGCAGCCTGGTACTAGTCTGGCTTTTACTCATTTAAAAGCAGTTTCTATTCAGATTTACATCCCATTGCTTCTACACTCTATTTTACCCTTGTGTCTATTATCCTTGGCCATTAAGTTCAGTAGCAGATCAGTGCTTAGGAATTAATAAAATACATTAGGAGAGATCGCAAGTCTTTATTCCACATGGAAAATTAATATATATATTTTTTAAATATCATGCCTTACAATGTGGAGCTATGGGTTAATGTAGTGTGGCATAAGATGTATCCTTGCTGAATGGACTGTTTTTAAAAAATTTTTTTTATCTCTACTGCATATACAGACTCATTCAAATGTTAAAAAATATCAGAAGTATTAAATGTATTATACTAGGAACAACTAAAGGGATCAATAAAAGGTTATGAGAGCTTTTACTGAGGTAAATATGCATGCAGGTTCACTGAAAATAAATTCAGTAATTGTCTCAATGTTTTTATTATCAAGGGCAAAAATGTGCACATACACTGTAAAATACAAACAAAAGATATTAAATACTTTTAATACCAATAAACATTATTACAAATATTCTGCAATTAAATAAAGCAAATACATTAGATTTTATTTTTCTTCACATTGTCTATTTATTCACACAATACGGGCTCTACATTATATCAAATTTTGAATTACCATTCTTACGGCTTATTATTATTATCATTGTGCATGAGTGAAAGTCAAACACTGCTACATTTTTGGACCCATTTGCTTTCCTTTGTAAAAAAGAAGGCTAAGTAAGGTTTATCCAATGAAGCTTATTTAGATTAAGTCATGGTACCTTTGGATACTGCTGTATTATTATATTATATATTACGTGAAGACAATAAAAGCCAAATTTAACTAAAAATATGTTCCTTTTCCTGAGACAGCACTGTTTTGTCACTACTGTTGGTGCTTTGAGGATTGTGTTCACGAGTGATACATGCCTGCACAGCTTCATCATGTAACGTTAGTTGAATCAGCTAAAGACCGCATGTATTTCTTGATGATACGGCGCATATCTGCGTACCTGAAATAAGGGCACAGAAAAAAATTAGTGCCATAATGATTTCAAATGACTGTATTACGTGTGACTCAGTCTGTACCTCTTCTTCAGTTTCTGCATCTCTCTTTCTTCTTCCTCTTGCAGCTTAGCAATGAAGCTTTGTAAAACCGGAAGCTCAAACTTGATGTATTGTGCCACCTTGAGGACAAAACGAAGTATTACAAAAATATATACATACAAACTTGCACTTTGTACTTGTTCACATTGGCTGAATTCAGTGCCCTAACATACTACTCTTACTATTTCTATAATAAATAGTAAGAATTCAGTATGCAGTTTTTCTGACCTTCTACTTCAGCCAAAATGTGCAGTATACAACCAGGCACATTATATATCTTAGAATATTTAATCCCAAAATGCAATGTGCATGACATTCCATTACAAAATGAAAAATTTGAATTAAAATGTTCATTTATATTTGATATATTTCACATGTATTCGGTTTTAGAAACAGAATAAAAATTGTTTTCACAAAAATATAATTTATATAAATAAATGTATCTAACCAAATATTTTTTAAGCTTGGAAAATAAATAAATAGATAAATAGATAGATAGATAGATATATAGATAAGTAAGGCCCTAGCATCCTCTAAGGAGGCAAAATTACTCAAAAATGACAACATTTAATCAACATTTCAATAAATAATTAAATATAGAATTAAACAGTTAATGAACACATACAAATAACTAAATTAATAAATTATTATATCACCAAACAAATAATAAATGTAATACATATCTGATGTATGTCATTTTTAAATTAGTTTTAACTTTTAATTGAATGCATTTGTGACTTTTCCAAACAAACAAACAAATAAATAATAAATAAATACTGCTGTTCAGAGAAAGAATTGTGAGAAAAAGTAAGCATCAATTCAAAGATAACGATTAAAATAAATGCAACATGATGCTAAAATGAAATAAAATGGACATGTACTAATTTGTTTGGAGATGTAATACTTCATTTATGAATTCTGTGTTTTATTAACAATTTAGTTATGTGTTTACCGATTTATTTAAATATATAAATATTCATTCAATTATTTAATTTTGAGTGACTTGGCCCCACATAAGACAAGCAGTTTGGGTAGGTAGGATAGATAGATAGATAGATAGCCAATGTGATATTTGGTCTCTTACATCATGGGTGACCTCTTCCACCTGGTCCGTCTCCATTAGGAACATTTTGCTGACCTGTTCACAAGGGCCTTGCAAAACCCTGAGCGCCAAAGGATGGTCATTAGGCTTCAGCTGATGTCTCTCTGAGTGCAGGGAGGGGAATATGAACTCAAGGACAAAGACAAGAATACTATGACACATTTAATTCCAGTTCGGACGTACCTCCACTGGCGTGGACGATATAAAGGCTGAATTCATCCGGGCTGTTCTCAATCTTGAACTTGTTAAGCAGCAACCGCATGACCTGTGCTGTCGTCATACAGCTGTTGACGCGGACGTTGGTCACAGAGCCGAACTTAGGCGTAAAAACTGCCGTCTGTTTGACAGAAACAACTGTGAGCAAAAGGGCTTACTAACGTGCTTACAGTTCACGAAACACGACGCCCACCTTGTGGTTATAAAAGTGGCCGTTGAAGGAGCATCGGTTTCTCTGGACTCTCCTGATTCCAAGCCGTCGCCCGCTGATTCTCCTTCCGCCGACATCAGTCTTGGTCCTGGCGAGACGATGGGAGTGTGTCGACTCCTGCTGCTCCTCCTCACCTGCCAGACGAGCTTTTACAAATCCAACGAGACAGACACAGTCGTTCAGATATGATGCGTAGACAGTGAACACTGCTAAGTTTTTAGAAAAAAGTCAAGAATGTATTCACCTGCCTCTTCCTTCTCTTCACTGAAGTCTTTTGATTGGTCGTCTGCTGTAGCGACCTCCCTGGAAACGATTTATTTCATGATAAAAAAAAAAAAAAAAACCTTCATAAACAAACGGTCCGGAGAAAACTATTTTTTGCATTTGACACATTTACAAAAGGAAGTGTAAGCCTATAGGGCAAGTGTTCATATTTTTACTAAAGTGTTTGCTTAGATGAATTATTGTTTATCTGTAAAGTTGCCTAAATATTTATTTATTGTGGAAATATAACAAGCAGCACAGCTGCTGTCAATATTGATAAATATTTTCTGACCAGCAAATCAGCATATTACAATGATTTCTGGAGGATCACGTGACACTGAAGACTGGAGTAATGGCTGCTTTGCTATCTCAGTAATAAATTAAAATTATATTTAAATATATTTCCAAACGTAGGTTATTTTATTGTAATAATATTTCACAATATTATTTTCACTGTATTTTTTGATCAAATAAATGCAGCCTTTTTGAGCATAAGAGACTTCTTTCAAAAACGTAAAAAAAAAAAATCTCACTGACCTTTTAAAGTAGGCCTAGTGTACAAAAAAATTGTACGGAATTCTGCACAGACAAGATCAAATATATATAAAAAATATTTTGGCCCTACTTTCTAAACTACAAGCATAAATGTGCATTTTTATTCTAGTTCCACTGTGAAGGCAAAACAAAAAACACATTTTTGATTGTTTTTACAAACTGAGGTATAAAATTAATTTCTGTGGTTATTCACAGATGTTGTTAATATTAACTTATTGATAATAACCCAAAAGCACCCATAAAATAATACAAATTATATAAATAATAAAATAATTCATAATATTAAAATAAAAATCCTTCCTTGCATTAAACATATGTAAATATCTGACTTGAGTGTGTTGATGTCCGTTTCGGCGCTCAGAGATGTTAGTGAGGGGCGTGGCCTGCCTGCCTCTTTCTCGTCCTGCATCTGCAGTCTGATTGGCCGCTGTACGCCCCAGAAAACATTGAGCAAACCCTCAATGATCAACTCTCCTTCCTCCTGTGAAAATCACATAATCAGATATATGACATCCATACAACAGGCTGTAATTTACCAACTAACCAACTAACCTCTCTGTGTCTCAACTGGAGAGCTTCTCCTTTGTAATAAAGGTTGTATGTGTTGAGCTGTGAGAGAAGAATGCTCCTGCAACCAAAAAGGAAAAAAGAAAAGAAAGTCAGGTTTACGAGAACGGTAAGAACAAGAAACCTTGCAGTAACATAGCAAAATGCACTTACTTGCTAACAAATTTGTTTTCGCCGATCTGGACCTTGTCTGAATCCTCACTGTCCATGTCGAGTGAGTGGAAAAACACTAGGAAGACCTGCTAAGAATGAAGGGATGAACTGAAAAAGATTGTTTAAAACATCTCTGAGAAAAAAAAAGTAGAAGAGAATCTCATGACTTTTCGCCTCATAATCGCAAAAGCACTGCAGGCAAGATTCTCACACACTGAAACACACACATAAACTGAACTGTCTTACACCACATTACTAAGCTATTAAAGGCTGTAACACACATTTAAATCTAATATTTTATATTTTACCATTATTTAGAGTGACATATTTCATCCTTTTTATTGCTAATGCAAAAGTAATGAACAAGAAATGACTAGTACATCACAACCAAGCAATAACGTCTCAGAATTTGCACATACACACTTAAAAATAAATGCTCTTCATTGGCAAATGTGACCCTGGACCACAAAACCATTCTTAAAGGGGTCATATGATGCGATTTAAATTTTTCCTTTCTCTTTAGAGTGTTACAAGCTCTTGGTGCATAATCCAAAAGAGGACAATATCCGCTTCGTCATGTCTGGAGCTGATCCGTGCTGGTCGCTGAGGAAATACTACAACTTGGCGCTGTGGATCACCGGATCGGCTTTCACTGTCGACGTTTCAGAAAGGCAGGGCATAGAGGAGAAACAATAATGTACAGTATGTGGAAAATAATGTTTTTTTAACCTAAAACCGCATAAACACATTTCATTACACCAAATACACAAAATAATGTTCTTTTTAGCAGCATCATATGACCCCTTTAAGTTGCACAGGTATATTTGTAACAGCAGCCAACAATACATTGTATGGCTAAAAATAATAGATTTTTCTTTTATGCCAAAAATCATTAGGATATTAAGTAAAGATCATGTTCCATGAAGATATTTTGTAAAATTCCTACTGTAAATATATCAAAATGTAATTTTTGATTAGTAATATGCATTACTGGGAACTTCATTTGGACAACTTTAAAGGCGATTTTTTTCAATATTTTGATTTTTTTGCACCCTCAGATTCCAGATGTTCAAATAGTTGTATCTCAGCCAAATATTGTCCTATCCTAACAAACAATAGATCGTATTTATAAGATCTGATTGTGGTCCAAGGTCACATATGAATCAATGAAGAACCTTTACAGTAATAGTTACATTTTTAGTCATTTATTTAGCAGAGTTATTTAGTTCACCCAAAAATTAAAACTCGGTCGGTCATCATCTCATGTTGTTCCAAACCTGACTTTTTTTCTTCTGTGGAATATAAAAGAAGATATTCTAAAGAATGTTGGTAACCAAATAGGTATGGTTACCATTGACTTCCATAGTATTTTACGTTGTTCATTCTTGAAAATATTTTCATTCATGTTCTACATACAGGTTTGGAACGTCATGAGTAAATAATGACAGAATTAGAATTTTTGGCTGATATCCCTTTACATCCATGGAACTTTTCAATTACATAAAAGGTTCTTTAGATGTTTAAAATGTTCTTCACACAGAACTGTTCACTGAAAGGTTCTTTGAGAAACCAAAAATGGTTCTTCAATGGCATCACTGTGGAAAACCCTTTTGAAACCTTTATTTGAGAGCTGAATTCAAGTTTTAAACCAACATCTCATCCATTTTAAGTCAGTTTATCTGAATTGATATTTGATAATGTACCTGTAAAGGTCAAGATGACAAAGCAGGTGACTTACTGTTCAAGCAGCACGTGGGAGAATCCAGCAAAGTCAGTGAAAGCAACTCAGACTCTGGCACAGACATCAGATAATGCGACTGCACCAGTCAGCAAACATGGAAGTCTTGGAAGTCATCTGGTCAGCATGAAAACAGCTGTGCCGCGGATGAGAGCGTGCCGTTGACAAGCTAAAGGAGTCTTTGCCCCTCCCTGTAAGACTCTTCCTCATTGCGAACGTTCAGTCAGGAAGTCGCAGCTATTTTGGGTCAGACTTCCTCCCATACGCCGCAGATATGCACACTCTGCCCCCAACCACAATTTAACATGCACGCCAAGATAATTACTAGCACAGATAACCAACGTTCAGATGGTTTGCTGGGCCAGACAGGAAGTACGCTTGGTCGAGCACATAAACAGGCCTGTGGATTGTCCATTGGGGCAGATGTTAACACACCGTCCCATGAATGCAAGACTAGTGAACACACAATGTCCTTTATTTAACAGAAACGTGTGCTTACCAAATAAATAAAATGAACAGAAATATGCATCATGTAAACTAGTATATTAGTATCTTTAAAATCTCACTATTGAGTGTTGGGTGTGTCAAGAAGCTCAATCAAAAGAGATAAAGAGAGAGAGGGAAGGAATGAAGGAATTGATGCAAAGGCTGCTTTCACTTGAACTTGCATCTGTTCCTCTGGTAACTAGCAGGTTTGAGCACAGCATTGCCATCTTGTGGATGCTAATATAATTACAAATTGATTCATGATCTCTTGGTCACTGGGATACTGTTTACATAGCAATTAACAATAAGCCACATTTAATTTTGTAAGATGAATAATATCAAACTGTCTAATGCAAGCCTGTAATGTTTATGCCACTCTGTGTTAAAAGGTACATTTAATTACAGTTTTCTGTTCCCTTTTTTTGTCATGGAAAATATATGGAGGAATGAATAAATAATAGGGATTAATAAATAATTAAAAATAAATAAATAGTGACGATTGCTGCTGGATTAATAATAGTAGTAATTTCTCTCTCTTTGTTAAAATGTATATTTAATTACTTAATGTTTGACAATGTATGAATTTAAGCCCATTACTTCCCAATTAAAACAAGTAAATAAATAAATAAATGTCTGGATTAGTATTTGTACTAATTGATTAGTATTAATATACTGTGCCACACCATTGAATATAGTAAATAAATGTATGAATTTTAATCCCATTACTTCTAAATTAAATAAATAAATAAAAAGAATAAACAAACATAAAAACAAACAAACGAATAGATTTTAAAATAATAATTAAACAATTAAATAATTGTCTGGATTAGCACTTGACTAGTGCAAATCTCTGATGTTTTTGTCTCTCTTTGTGAAAATGTATATTTTATTACTTAACAATATTTATTTAACATAGAAAAACTGTCACACCCTTGAACTTGAAATAAATGGAAGAATGTAAGCACATTCCTTCCAAAAGACAACCCATAAATCAATAAATAAATACATTTTTGTTTGAATTTTGCATAATTCAATTATCTGAAATAATACATAAATAAATAAATAATTTTTTTACAGCATCCCATATATACCGTCATATGCACAGCATGGATTAATTCACAGATGCCTTTATTTCTTTGCAAAAAAAAAGACAAATAGCAGGCAAACATGCAAAAGTTCATTTATCTAGGCAGAAATCAGTTTAAGAGCACACATATATCTACATATATACAAATGAGCATTTACAGCCTGTCTTGAATGCTGAAGATTAAATTGAGACACACGCAGACGGCCCACATCCTTTTGTTAAAGCATTCAATGCAATCAATCAAAATATTCATTCGCATGCTACAGATGATGTGCAAGGCCTAGGTACAAAACACATGTGTTTCTAGAGAGTCCCTGTGGAGCGCTTGAGGACTAATGGAACGATGCTGAGAGTCGATGTGGAAAAAGAGCCAGGCTCACTCTGCACTTCATGCTGCGCTCTAGATGACATTCTCAAACAGCTGCATGGAGCTCATAATGTTCTCGTCCTAATAAAACAGCAGAGGCAGGAAAGCGTCAGTCGCAGATTGTTGCTGACAGCTTCATGTTAGACAGAGTTTAGAAAAGGTCTGGCTGTCACACACTGACAGTGAGAGTCTCCGTATCAACATAAATCAGTCCAGTGTTGACATTTCTCTGACATTAACTCTGATGCTTCTGTCTATGCACGGTGAGATACTTCTAGACAAGACATCAAAACAAGACGATTTCAAGGGGTCATTTTTTCCTTCTAAGGTTTCACTGTCTGTATATTGTTAGTGAAGATTTTTGTGCCAAAACAACTCAGAATTTTTTTTTTTTCATGACCATTTTACATTGTCTTATTAATCAGACTGTTTATTTCTGTTTATTTTCTACTGGCAAATGTCACTAATTAATATTCATGAGTCAAGCTGATTTATAATGTGTTCACACCTACTTTTCAGATAGTTCCAAATTGGCAATGTTGATATGCAAATATAGGTTAATATTTCAAACCCAAGTTTTTTTGTACCTTGATTTTTAATAAATTTCAATAAATATGATCAAACTATTATTCAAAGATCTAATGATATTTAACTGCCAAACCAAGTGGCATGCTTTTGGATAATAATAATAATAATAATAATAACAATCATAATAGCTATTATTATAATGATTGTTGTTATTTCAAACCCAAGTTTTTGTAGCATGATTTTAAAATAAATTTTATTAAATAATATAAAACTATCAAACTATTGTTCAAAGATATAATAATAATATTTAACTACCAAACCATGTGGCGTGCTTTCGTATAATAATAATAATAATAATAATAATTATAATAGTTCTTATTATAATTCTTGTTGTTCTTGTTGTTTCAAAACCAAGTTTTTTGTAGCTTGATAATAATAATAATAGTAATATTTAACTATCAAACCAAGTGACATGCTTTTATATAATAATAATAATAATAATAATAATAATAGTTCTTATTATAATTCTTGTTGTTCTTGTTATTTCAAAACCAATTTTTTTTTGTAGCTTGATAATAATAATAATAATATTTAACTATCAAACCAAGTGACATGCTTTTGTATAATAATAATAATAATAATAATAATAATAATTATTATTATTATGCATAAAGAGGAACGGCAGATGCATGAAAACAAGATTAAAGATGTCAAATCATATATATCCACTTATATATAATGCTAGTTCAGATTTTTGTGCCCAAACTATTCAGAATTTAGTATTTCATGCCCATTTTCCACCCTGTTATAAAATTAAATTAAAAATTTTTCTTGGTCCTGTGTTAACTATTTCTGAAGTATTTCAGAATTATTTGTTTTTGTAGCTTAGTTTTTGATAAACTTCCTTTTTGGACAAGAGAGGAAGTTTTGAGTTACAGTATATTTTCATATTAGCTGAAAAAAATCTATTTTGTGTCAAAACAGAGAAAAGTTTGATTTCTTATGACGTGAGCTCTTTTAATCTGGCCTACCTTCTGACAGGTCTCTATGAACTCATCTATGGTTACAACACCATCTCTGTTTCGGTCCATTTTCTGAAACAAAGGTGTTTACAGAGTTTAGTGGTGATTATGGCTGGCTGATATCATTTCCATGGGAATGTTAAAAGCTGGTTACCTGGAAGAATTTCTCCACGTGTTCAAATGCAGCATTGTCTTTTACACAAGGAAAGGTGTACCTGCCCATCATGTCATAGATGGACTTCATGATAGCCAGCATTTCCTGAAGAAAGTGAATGCTAATTGTGGTAACAATGCCAAATATATGTACTAAAGAGACTATGTCAGTTTGTTTTGTACTATTGTTTTGTACCTCTTTGGTGATGTAGCCGTCTTTATTAATATCATACAGGTTAAAGGCCCACCTCAGTTTCTCTGTCACAGAACCTCGGAGCAGAACAGACAAGCCGATTACAAAGTCCTGCCAAACACACACATACTACAATTGATTAGAAAACAAAACTAAATGTAATAGTCTCACTTGGGATTGTCTGTTGGACTAATATTTATGTTCCATTGATAATGAACCCAGTGATGGAGGTGTAAAAATAACAGTAGCAATTAACCTCTTCTTTTGATCCTCTGATATAATTAAAATCTAGCCAGCAGATAATATTGTTAATCTTCTGATTAACATGAATATAGACATTTGAGTTGAATATAGTAATATAACATGGAGCTGCAGTCTTTCAAATGACAATTTTTGCAAGTGGTTTGCTATATATAATGTTCCTTACCTCAAAGCGTATAGACCCATTTCGGTCCATGTCAAAAGCATTGAAAAGGAAGTGTGCGTATGTGGTTGCATCTGCAAAAAAAGAAATGATTCTTAATGATTCTTAATATTTGGATTTTATAACTTACCTACCAGAAAAAAAATTGGACACACTTGCTCTATCTTTATTATGACTTTTACAGATGTTATAATAAATGTCAGGTCATAAAAAGTAAATAAATAAATAAAATAAATAAAAAGTAATCTATAAAATAGTAATAAGTAATATATAATATAAAGAGTAATATATATATATATATATATACACATACATACAGTTTGATGGATTTAATATATATAATATATACAGTGGTGTGAAAAAGTTTTTGCCCCCTTCCTGTTTTTAAATTTTTTTTTGCATATTTTTCACACTTGAATGATTCAGATCAAACACATTTTAATATTACACAAAGATAACCTGAGTAAATACAAAATGCAGTTTTG